GAGAGAGAGAGAGAGAGAGAGAGACAGACAGGGAAGATGAGTGGTTGTACATCTTCATCTGAGCATTTTCAGTTTCATTTGTAGCAATAAACTGTCATGGGCCACACAAGCATCCTTCTCCTCCCCTAAAATATTTTGAGTTTGTTGCACATCTTAATAAATGAAGCTGTGATCCACAATCATCCATGTACTTCATATTTTTACAAAAGTAGCAGCAAACAAAAACTTCCTTTTATGTCTCCTGGCTCACTCTCTGTTGTTTAAAAATATGACAGGTTTTTTCTAAACAGTCCTCTGTAAACGTCGCCTTTGATTGTCGTAGTGGCATCACTTTGCTGCCTTGTTTATCCTGGACATGCAAGCCTCGCTCTGGAGAGCCCTTGCCTGGTATGCATGAGGCTCTTGATCCAATCCTAGCTCTTCCAGATATAAAAACGTTTTTTAAAAGATGAAAGGAGGAGGAGGAGGGAGAGGAGGAAGGATGGAGGGAAAGACTGGAGACAAGCATATAACTTTGTACTTCAATATATATACATGCTTGGAAAGAAAGGAACTTTCTATCTAAAGTTGAGAAGACTTCTCACTTGGCCAAGTTAAGATTTGGGTTTTCTTGTCTCTTAACCAAGGGCAGCAATACTCATGTGTGTTTGCTACGGGAGAAAGAGAACACTTTAAGTCAATCTGTGTTCTTTCTCTAGGAAGTAGAGCTTCTCATTACCCTGGTTAAATCGGAAAAAGGAAGTCTGGGTTTTACAGTAACCAAAGGCAGTCAGAGTATTGGTTGTTATGTCCATGACGTCATACAGGATCCGGCCAAAGGTGATGGAAGACTAAAGCCTGGAGACCGGCTTATAAAGGTGAGACACTGAGGGGCCGGAGAAGTGACTCAGTGCTTTAAGAGCACGGGCTGCTCTTCCAGAGGACCTGGGTTTGATTCCCAGTACCAACATGTTGGTTTACAACTGTAAACCAGTTCCAGGTATCTCCAGTTCCAGATATCTCCAGTCCTGGTCTCTGCAGGCATCAGGCACACAGTTGACACAGATGCTCAAAATAAAAAGTGAGACAATTAAGGGGAATGGAGACATTCTTACAGTGTGACTGGCTGACTTAATCTATTTTTTATTACTATCATGCAATACCTTACACAAGCTAACTTTAAAAAGAAAAGGAGTTTAGTTATCTCATGGTATGTGGGACCTTTAAAGACATGGCACCAGCAGCTAGCCCGAGTGAAGGCATCATACTTCTGTGAGAGGAAAAAAATCACATCTCAGGGATGCCAAAGAGTCTGGAGTCCTGCTACTCCTTCTGCAGGCACACCTCTAGTCTAGTCAGTCACTTGCCTGTCACACAGAGGACCTAGCTTCTAACACGTGAGCCACATCCAGACCATAGCCATGACCAAAAGCAAGTCAGCACTGGGGAAGGAAGGAAGCTGAGTTTTTCCCTGGTTTGTGTTTTCTTTCCCCACCACTTTAAAAATAAAGGCATTAGGAAGGCAGAGTGCACATGCCTGGAGTGTCAGCACTTGGTGCATAGAGGCAGTCGGATCAGGAACACAAGGTCATTCTTGACTGTGTAACAAGCTCAGCATGAGACCCTATCTCCAAAGAAGGTGGTGGCGACTAGGAATGTAGCTCAGTTGGTAGTACATGCATAGCTTGTACGGAGCCCCGGGCTCAAGCCACAGCACTACAGAAAACTAACAGGGTGGCACCCACTTGGAATCCCAGCACGTGGGATGTGAAGGCAGGGAGGGGAGCAGATCATTCTCCACTACAGCATTTATATACGTAGATTCTCGGGAATTGCTGTAAGCTACTTCTTAAACTGAAAGTCCTTTTGATCTCTTCAGGGTCTCTCAAATCCATGAGACAGCAAGTTTCTTAAATTCTAGAGGGTAGTGAAGTATGCATTTATTTGTTTGTGACTTTATATTGTTCATAATGACTTGATTATTGTCTCTAATCTCGGCAGGGAAAAAGACTCTAATAAATTAGAGACTACATCACCATAAATCTCTTACTGGCTAATACAGGTTATAATCATGTTTCCTGTTCCAAAAATCAAACCTTAGCTTGCCTCTCTCTCCTTTTGTAGGTTAATGACACAGATGTTACAAACATGACCCACACCGACGCCGTGAATCTGCTAAGAGCCGCACCCAAAGCAGTCAGATTAGTTCTTGGGCGGATTCTAGAGTTACCCAGGATGCCAGTGTTTCCCCATTTGCTGCCTGACATTACAGTCACATGCCACGGAGAGGAGTTAGGTAAGAAAAGCACAAGCTTTGTTTAGTACGACTTTCATGCATAATTAAAAGTAAGATTCCTGCGACTGAGGAATAATTGTTTTCTGTTCCTTGAAGGATTTTCCCTCTCTGGAGGTCACGGCAGTCCACATGGAGTGGTGTATATTAGTGATATCAACCCAAGGTCAGCTGCAGCTGTTGACGGTAGTCTCCAGCTGTTAGACATCATCCATTATGTGAACGGAGTCAGCACACAAGGAATGACCTTAGAAGAAGCAAACAGGACATTGGACCTGTCGCTTCCCTCAGTGGTGCTGAAAGTAACAAGGTAGGTACTAGGGAGTAGTCTTCAGTTTTGGGTATATGTATGCATGCATAAAGCACTGGGCAGCAGTCTACAGCCTTGGGTGTATGTCTACACAAGGCACTGGGCAGTAGTCTACAGCACAAGGTACTGGACAGTCATTTACAGCCTTGGGGGTGTGTATGCATG